TAACCTGCATCTTATAATTATAAATGATTATACTAGTTATTAATTGAAGGGTTTTTTTTCAGATCTCATATTTACGTTTGAAATAGGAGATTCTTTTAAAAAATATTTAGATTCAATATGGGCATAGCTTGTGTTGAGTATAAGGATTCGAAGGGGATGGGGGAGGGTTGAACAGAGGGATGAGGATGTGTGGGGGGGAGGGGAGATTTTCATGGAATTGTATAATTTGACTGGGGGTGAGGGAACTTGGAAGAACCTGTTCTCAAAAACAGTGTATTCAGATTTTATAAATATACTGGTGTTTAAAAAAAAAAGAATATTTTGTTTTTACTGATGTTCATGTCTTTTATGTTGACAGCTTTTTGACATTGGTACCAGTGAACTTTTGGCAAAAATACATACAGGACATCATAGTACCATCCAGTATTGTGACTTTTCTCCTCATAACCAATTGGCAGTGGTGGCTTTGTCTCAATACTGTGTGGAGGTGAGTAATCAGATATACTCTGTGATGCCTGAGTTTCCACAGTAAACTAGGGGTGTAAAGATGAAGAATGGGTTGCCTAAACCGTTAGTTACTGAGAGTGCTTGTTTAAGAAATTGCAGAATATTTTCTTCATTACCTATAGAACAATATTAAACTATATTTCCAACTTTATTACTCTTAACAGGGATTTAAAAAACCTTGACAGTATAACAGGGAACGGCAGTACAATTCACCAAGTATTTTGTGAATACTTTGCTTGTGCTGGGTTCTGGGGAAACAGAATTTCATAAATATTATAGACACAGGGTCTTCTGGAAAAGGAAATTACTCCAGTTCAGATTTCTTAGGTCATTGAGAAGAAGAAAATGGAAATTATATTTAGAATTGGCTAAGTTAGGCTGTTCATTGGCAAGCATTCAATGGCTTATAAATTGTTTACAATTTTTCACTTAGTTGATAGATTTTAAACACGTAGTCTATATTTAACTTATCCTGGGTAGGTTTTGCCTAGTGAATTATTATTCTAATTTATGAAAAAAGCAGTTTTTCTATAGAGGTGAATAATTTTTGCAAGCTTTCTTCTTTCTCATTCCTGAGTGAGTCTTACCACCAGGGAATGTGAAGCCCTCGAAATGACAGTTCCAAGAAGATGGGTATAGGTCTTTATTCAGAAAATAGGGAGATTTACTCAGACCTCCTCTTTAAAGGAACTTTGAGTTCGGGAGGTATTTTTCAGTGTTGTGTTTATTTCGGGCATTTTTAGTACCATCCGTAACCAACAGTCTTGAAGCATGGGGATAAAAATAAAAGAGAATGAAGGAATAAACTTTGTAGCTCTCTCCCAATCCCAAGTACAACAGATTCTTCCTGTAATGTTCAAGAACTTCTCACTGGAAATAGAGACAGTGAGTATGAAAAGGCTCCATACTGCCGTGTGAAGTGGTAGAGTGTTGTGACAAATATTCTTTTGTACAGTCGCTTGCATGATTCAGATCTACTCGGAGACCTTGAAATCTTACCTGTAAGTGGTAGATGGGATTTTCCTGAGGGTTCTTAGTGTTTTTTAGGAGGTGTTGAAGGTTAGTTCCTCTTTACTCTGCCTCTAGCTTTTCCAGTCAGTTATAAAGTCCTTATCCTCTGCTGTCCTCAGAAAAACTCCAACAAATAATGCCATCTTTCTTGAAAGGTCACATAAACTAAGTTCCCATTGAACTGATTCCAACTCATTGACGGCTCTGTGTGTATCTGAATAGAATGATGCTTCATAGATTTTTAATGACTAGTTTTTTTTGAAGTAGATTGTTAAGCCTTTCTTCTAAGATGCCACTGGATAGATTTGAAGCACTAATTTCTTGATTTATAGCCAAGTGCACAGCCATATATGCCATGCAAGGGACTCCTAAGCCACTTTGGGATTGATTCTGACTCATGTTGACTCAGGAGCAGTTCTGCTTGTGTATCAGAGTAGAATTGCCCCACCGGCTTTTCAGTGGCTGAGTTTTCAGAAGTTAGATTTCTAGATCTTCGTGGGAGGCACTTCTGGATGAACCTGAAACTCTTGGTTATTTGTTAGCAGACAAGTATGTTCACTGTTTGCACTACCATGTAGAGATTGTGTTGGAGGTTCTGAGTGACCTCAAAAAAGGTAGAGGAGGGTTAGGGAAAGTAAGGAGGGACGAGAGGGAAAGGTTTTCAAGGGGTATTTTTCAGTTGTGTAACCACTTTAGTTTCTGGCCTTTTAGGTCTGTATATGTGCTAGTTTGAACTCTGGCCATAAAGCATATAAGCTTTTATATAATCAGTTTCTAACCATAGAACTCATTGAATGAAAACCACTGGGCATGTGAACTTGCTTTGTTTATCTGATTCTAAAATCATAAAGTAGGTCTGTAATTCAGAGTCTAATGAGAGGAACTCAGGCACATATGGTACTTCATTAGACCAGAATAAATTTGAGTAATTTGCAACAGAGGACAAAATACAGGCTGGTGGCAGGCCTTGAAAATTCGCAATAAGCATTAATAACAAAGAGAAATGGGTACATGTTACATGTAGTTGATTTATTTATTGTAAGATTTTCTAATCACTTGAAATAGGGTTTAGGTGACTTTGTTAAGAAGCAGTCTAAATACAGAAGCTTGCTTATGTTTTTAATATTACTTTTTCATTTGCATATATTTAAAATAGGTAAAATATTTACAGGATTCTAAAATTAAGATTTTATAATTAGAGAAACTTCATTCTTATCCCTGTTCCTTCCTTTCTCTATTTATAATTTATTTTATTTTTTTTTAATTGTGATTAGAATAAAATTTATCATCGCTACCCTTATTTCATCCTTTTTCATAGATTTAACCTTCTGGTCTTTATTTTTGCATATATAAGCAGATACATGTTTATATAGAGATTTAGATCTGTAGATCTGTGTCTATCAATGTAATCACATATTTGTATTTATGTCTCTTTTATAAAAGAGTATAATCTCTTCTACATCTTGAATTTTTTTGTTAACATATTTGAAAGATTATATATTTTATAT